CGTCCTCTTTCATGATTTCTATGAGCAGTCTAAACACTTTTTAAATGCAGTGTGTATAATAGTAAAGGCTCAGATGGCAGCAATCATGAAGTGTGTTCCTTTCAAATCAGTCAGATACATTTGAGGATGGCACCTCGAATGAAAGATGTTCTCAGCTACAGACAGTCACGAACTCTAACACAACACTGCAAAAGACAACTGAGAGGTTGATGTATAATACAAAATAGAGCAATGTTATGACTTATAATGTGGACATAACATGACATGAAAAATGTGTGCAAATCACAAGCACCTGTTCTCTTTATTGTTTGGTTCTTGCCTTCTTGTCAGGTTGTTCGTTGAATAGTAAAAAACAAAGTGAAACAATCAAGTATGTCATACATACATACAGTCCTCTTTGATGTTAAAAATGTTTTAAAGAAGAATATACAAACTGACATCAATGTGATGAAACTATGAAGTATGAACGTTGTGCAATCAGACCACTGCATTTGAATATGGTGATCACTAATGGCGCATTTCCACTGCAGCGGGTAGCCCCGTTTAAGCGTCCTTAAATCGTCCTCAAGCGGCCAGGCCAGTTTTTGGTGGCCTTTCCATATAGCGTGGCACCGGCTAGCGGGTTCTTTTTCCCTCTTTTTCCGGCCCCATAAAATCGTGGTTCTATCAGACCAGGGCCAGGGCTGAACTAGTGACGTCAACACTCTCGACTGCTAATTGGTCAGAGAGAATCTTCACAAGATCGCGCGCGAGATCATCCCTAGCGTCGCATATATATTTAGAAGCAAGCTTGCAGCATTTTTATACACAGCATTTTTGTAAACGGAGGAGCTACAAAAATGGCAACGTCAAAGAAAAGCACACCGTGGTCGACCGAGGAGGTGACGACGTTCCTACATCTCATTGGGGATGATCAAATCCAGCAGGAGCTCGACGGGACAACTCGAAATGTGAAGAAAAAAAAAAGCCGATCGCCCCGCCTACACTGCGTTGCTACCCCAGGTCCTAAACTGTAATGGAAATGCGCCACGGCCTGGGCCGGCCAGCGAGGCAGCCCGCTGCAGTGGAAATGTGCCATAAGACTGTAAAGATGTTATATAACACTCCTTTGTAAATTCAGTTTAAAAATGTAACGCTTCATAGGGCGACTGTGGCTACGAGGGAGTGCGGTCGTCTTTCAACCAGAAGGTTGTGGGTTCGATCCCAGCCCATGCAGTCAACATGTTGATGTGTCCTTGGGCAATATACTTAACCCTGAGTTGCTCCCGATGGCATGGCCAACGGTGTGTGAATGTTAGGTCCTAGAGTAAGGTACACTGCGCTGTATGAATGGGTGTGAATGGGTGAATGACATGTAGTATGTAAAGCGCTTTGAGGGTTCTTAAAGACTGGATAAAGCGCTATATAAGTACAGTCCGTCTTCCATTTACCATTCATACGCTTGTGGCGATATAGAGGTTATCAGAAAGAAAAGTCAGCTGAAACATACTGGCTATAGAAGTTGCGATGGGCTGAAAATAATGACGATTTAAACACATGCTTGTCAGTACCAGGGCATGCCTATTCCATATCTATATGTTTTTCTGTCATTTGGTTTAGGAAGAACATTGAAGGTGTTCTCTTCTCATTACAGAAAAATATTTGGTAGCATCTTTCTTATAAATATGTGCAAACCTAATTTTGTCATTAATTATTGGCTTTGCTGCCTGTTTATAACTAGAATGTGTGAATCCAAGGGAATCCATAACCCTAAATAGCATTGTAAAGAAATGAAAAGAAAGGTAAACAAGAGTTACATTTGCAATTTTAGTCTAATAGATAAATATTTGTGGCACGTCTGTACAGCCCCATTTGCATGTTACTATAGCATAAAGAAACACTACAATAACCTGCTCACAGAAGTATTGCTCTTTAACACCATTAGTAGCTAAATCAATCCAAAGTGTACCATTAACTAAAACAATAGCAACAGCCTTTTAAACATAGATGTTGATCCATACACTGTGTTTTATTATTTTGCTTTGTCTACACAGTGCACATTATTGCAATACACAATTAACAACTTATTAATTAAATTCCAGTGACTATATATATATATATATATATATATATATATTTTTTTTTTTAAAGAGGATATTCCCCAGAGCTCCCAGAATTGATTAGGTTTAAAAATCCCTGACAATTTTGCATTTTCTTTTCATCAGCGAGAAATCTGTTAGTTATACCGCGTGAAACAAAAGTACTGTTGCTGTTATTACCTGCAGTATGATATACAATCCACATCAATAAAGGATGTTGGTTAAACAGTTGACAGCATATTTGTTTGGGAGTGTCCTGCTATACAATTCGAATCAGTACCTGACAGTATTACATAGCCAAAGTGTAACATTGTAATTATCAAATGGCTGAAGATGTTCTGAAAATGATTTCAATTTATGTATAAATGATTTTAAAAGCAAGTTTCAAGAATGAGTTCACACATGGATGTCTGTTATCCGGGACCAAAACATGCTTACTTTCATCTACATGATGTCAAAACTCTAAACAAATATTTTGATGATGAACTTGCCGTGTATAACACCTTGTGTGACTATTAACAAAAAAAACGCCGCCACTCTCTGCAACTGAAAGCCACAAACACAATGAAGCTCTCGAACAGGGGAAAGGGGGGGTGCCTGGTGTGCAAAATGCGTGTGAAGATGAAGAACATGTGTGACATCACCAGTGAACCCTGAGTGACTCCTTTGCAGTCTGCCTTTGTGCCTCTTTTTCGCTGCCTCTGACGCAGAACCGTGTCATAAATACTGAGAAAAATCTTCATTTCAGAGAATAACCCTTTTTAAGATTTGAGAACATCAACAACTGCTCTTCTCTACATTATGAGTTTAACCACTAATATTGTAAGCCATCATACTATTCCAGTAAGATCCATCCCAGCATCCCAGCATGCAAAGGAAAGAACACCTTAGAAAGGTTGACAGTAAGGTGCATCACAGCCAGTATATAAACACGCATCCGCACCAACATTCACCACGTTGACATAAAGGTGTCTTAACATGAGGCTGGATAATCTGTTCAATTTTGTCTATATTTTTCCTCAATATTGATTAAGACGCCTATCAGATATTCATCTGGTAATTCAACACATTCACTAACTACCAAGTTGTTGTTGTCCTCCCACAGTTTCTATACAACTGTGAACAGTTTACGTTTGTGCAATTTCACACAATGTCAAATAAAGTCAACAGCTTGATGGAGATGTGGTAAGGCAAATTAGCTTACATGGTCTGTTTAGTTAAATAAACAGAGTCCGGTTTTTTACACTCCAATGGAAAATAATAAGGTGTAGTACTTGTCATTCAGTTGTAAGCTTTGGTGACCCCATTTCTGAATATATCAACACTTAGTACTAAAAAATATGTAATTTAATTGAAGTTTGAATTGGAATCCTATTATTAGGATTGTTTCTAATATACAATTAGGGCTGAGATTCTTTCAAAAATATTTCATATCAGAATTTCTGTTGAAGGACATGCTTGTTGTCATCAATTTGAACTATATGTTATATTTACAATCAATTATTATATTGCATGTTTGCCCAGCCCCATACAATGTTGTCTTAGTTCATATATTTATTTGGTAAAATTAAGTGCTTGCTGGGATCTTATTTTTGCAGGAAAAAGCAGAAGGTGAAATGGTGTATGGTGTGTATGCAAGGTCCCGAATTATCTATGTATCTATTTATGTATTGCTTCATGCTCTTTTAAGGCCTTTGTGACTGCTAATCGGCTAATAGCCTAAAAAATGAAGTGGGAAAACAACTGCTGGAAAAAGCAAAACTGAGGCACACGTGAGATACAATTTAGTTCTCTTATCGTCTCTTTTAGTTGTCTTATAGCAAAGCTGGGAGGACTGAAAAGCAATGCAGGTGTTGTTGGCTCAGTCAACTGAAGAACTGTATGTTTGCTTTAAAATATACTTCAAAATAATATTGACAGAAATGTTTGCTTTTATCTTCACAGAAATTAAGACAGCAGCTTGTATCAGCTCTTTCCTTCACAACTTATTATGTGCAACATGATAGTTTTCATTTAGAATGGATATCACTTGATATAGGTGTATTGGTTTACAAAACAAATGCAAAGTAGTAAGGAGGATAACTTTGCAGTAGACCTGTAAGTTACTGTATGCAAACAGACTGGTTTTATACAGCTTGTGTATACAAGCAAACAAACAAAAAGAAGAAACACCCGCTGAATGTGGACACTGAATAATCCCTGCCAGGCCTCACCATTATTTTTGTTTTGTAGACTGCTTTAGTCAGGTGGGACTGTAGGCCACAACACTTGCTTTGCTCCTAGTTGTGTTGTTATTGTGACAGCATGACACTCATTGCATTGATTATCTTGTATATTGGCTTAACTTCACAAATTAATATATTCCCCCCAAAAATGTAGATAAACATTGCTGATGTCATAAAGTGTTTAAGGCAATTAAACTGCACATTTGAGCACCTTCATCCTACAGGTTTTACCCCACATTACAATTGTTGTTTAATTGTATCTGATGTATTCATGGTCGATAAAGTTATTATATTATATGAATTTCTGATAGAATGCTGATTCTTACATTTTAAGTATGTGTAGGCTATAAAACACACCTTTTCATAATTTGTTGAAATACAGAAATGATGCAAAAGCCAATATACTACTTCTAATGACCAAATGTAATCTTATTAAAATATTTTACCAGAAAAGCTCACCTACCAGGAATGTACTTATTGCATCTAATAATTGTGTTAAGCTGATTTAGTTCTCAGAGGGAATGTTCTTTTTCTTCAGCAGTCAGTAGTTTGATTTGCTTTGAGAGCTTTATCATGACATAATAAGACTGGGTGTTTTCCTCCTCTGGTGCACATGTGCACTCGGGGTAGCAGTGGATGATCAGCGGGCCTACTTTAGAACAATAACAACAGACACGGTCCTGCAGGGAGCACCTACCTGTTCTCTGGATATGCAGGGCAGCGAAGGTCTGCGAGGCATTTTACAACTGCCATAATAGCTGGTCGACGTTTCCCCAAGTGAAACACAACTGGACCTTCTCCTAGGTCTGATCACTGGGACCTTTTCCTCCGCGGTGGAAATCCCACTCGGTGCTTCCCTCGACGGGTAGTAGCGGTCAAAACAGAGCCCCAACAGGGAGCCCGAAACCCCCGCAAAGCAGGCGAAGAGAGGTCGGAGCAGTGCAGGCAGACCGCTCAAACTTGTGAAAGAAACCAGCCACACAACGCTGGCAAACACCAGGATAAGAACACTGTGTTTGAGTTTCAGAGTTGGAATCAGTGTGAGCAGACCCACACATCCCAACACGAATAACAACCTGCCCACCATTTGCATCTGGTGTTGGTCCTCTCCCCATTGCAAAAACCGCAAAACAAAAAAATCCCCGAGGTAACACGATGCTGGTAGTGACAGGAGCCAACATTTACTGCTCTCCTTCTTTTTCCTCCTCAGGTAAAAGGTGAGAAAGAAAAAAGCACATCCTATGCTGAATAAAGGACTGATGGACTGGGAGAAGCCCGACAAAAAAGTCCGCAAATCCCACAGCGAGTCACTTTGCAAGCTCCTAGAAATGAGAAAAGAAACTGCGAAGAATACAAACGCGCCGACGTAAAGGGCAGATATCTTTAACAATTTTGAATTAAGAATGTCTTCGTTGGAAAACCTGCACACGTTAAACAAAAATCCCCTGTGATGGTCCTGTTTGAGAGGGGTGACGCAGCTCTTCACATAGCCGTTCCTGAAGCCCTCTGAGCTGTTTACACTTCCAGCTCCGTCGTGGTGCCTTGTTTTACTGTGCAAAAGCTCTCCTTCCTCCCGTGCAGACATGGCTCGACTGTGCCTCCTCGTATCCACGCTAAAGTCCCCCTCTTCTAATATTCACGCCGTGTTAACGCTGAACTACATGACAGCAAATGCACTCCATGGTCACTCAAACGTGCTCCAGCACTTGGACTAAAGAAAGAAGGTGAGATGTTGTTTTTACAGAAAAGGGGCTCCATGTCGCCGCCTAGAGGCCACACACCTCAGTGCTTCGTAAATGTGGAGCTCTGAACCAATCCTGAGAGCTGCATCATTATCATAACCTACCGTAATGTAATCAAATCACTGATCCGCAGTTAACACACTTTTAAAACGTTTTCATTGAAAAAAGAAAATGGCACAAAAACCGACACTTGTTTTCCATACTGCCCACATTGGAAATTGTACAGTCACCTTTGCATAAAGAAAATCCACATTTATATAAAATAATGTAGCCCTATTGCCATACAACATTTTAATAGCCAAGGACAGTCACTTTTTGGAGTCAGCATTGTATATAGGTTTTTAACATTGATTGATCAGTTTACCTGGTGTTCATTTAAATGTAGCTTGCTGTGTGTTACTGTGTGTTTTTAATGCTTTCTGGATGTAGTGCTTTGTGTTTTAATTTACACATTATAATAGCAGATCTTGCACATGCAAGCCAAAGAAAATGTTTTGCTATTTTTTTTGGCAAATAAGTAGACAGTTATTTTCTATTCTATTTTAATATTTACAACCTTCTAAATTGTAAGTGTATTGTTTCAGGTATTTATTTGTCTATGTTTATAGTAGACACTTTGAATAGATTTTAGTCAACAGTTCCAGAGTTACACTTTTGAATGTGACTACATTGATTCGCATAATTATGTTTTGCATAAGCCTGGAAATAGTCTATTTAGTTTAAAAGTAAAGTCCTATTTTTTGTGTAAATATTATTTGTTTTGATCAGAAGTGTCACCATCGAGTGTCGCTGCATCATGGTGCTCTGGGATCGTTTGCATAGCCTGCCTTCAGTCTGGTATGCAGATTATCGATTTAATAGATCAGCAAAACAGTGTAACCGACTTTAAATGCCGAGTTGTGGCAACATATCTAAACAAATTGTTAACGTATTTTGCGATAAAAATACACAGACAAAGGTTGAGTTGATGTCTGACGAAATATGGTCAACTAGCTAAATACATACAAGCTTTCCCATAAGTAAATTCGCTTGTTGACATCCTAACATCAACATTGTAACATGATAGACCCAGGAGTGCCTGAAGTAAAGACTACTATTGATCCATGAGAGCTGCCAACTTGAACAAACACGTTCATAAAAGTACAAATTAAAATATACGGCTAATATCTAAACCTAAATAGTCGTATCAACGTTAACAAGTTGACAGCATTTAGATAAACCTCTCTAATGTAATTAGTTACACCTGTGTATCTGCTGTCATAACAAGTCAAAATATCAGATGTGAGAATAAGTCAAAGTAAAAGCAAGGCAGTTAAATGCACATTTCCTTACAATGCATGCAGCAACAAAAATGTTTAATATATGTTACAACAACTCACCTGCTTGCCAATAACTCACTACCCTATAGTTTCTCTTTTGTTAACTGGACTTATAACTTCTCAAAGTATATTTATATTTAATTGAATGTCTTCTTGCAAACAAAATGTAAATAATATCCCACTTTTATATTGTGTTAGCTGTAATTCAGCCCATCAATAGTTTTTTTTATTTGTCAGATATTTAACATATTTTTTTCTCACGGTCAACTTTTATATTTCAAACTTTTAGTTCTATTTGGAGATGTTTGGATTGTATAATTGTTTACTTTCCACTCTTTTTTATTTATAATTATGTGTAATAAGAAAATAAAACAAAATAAATCCCAATGTTTGATTAATAAAGTATATCTTATCTTATCTTATAATGAACCAAACAATAAAATATAAGAAAAGAGAACAAATAAGCTGTCACTGTGACTTTAGATTTCTCACACATTTTGTGATTTACACAGATGTAAGGCCTTCTTGGATCCTTGAAAAGCTAGCTTGGATGTAGTATCGTAAATAAAATGTCTTAATGTCTGTGTTACTAGATGTGTGCCACACAGACTAAGTAAACAGGTGTGTCCTGATGTGTCTGAAAAGTAAACATTACATGTTATAATAGTAATAATCTTATTCAGCGTTTACTGTTGGTTCAGTTTTGTCAGCAGGGTAAACAATGTTTCCCTTTAACTTAACTAATGTGCATATTTCGCCTCTTCTTTAGATATGTAACCAGTATGACAGAGATGTTACTCTTTTGAGACATGAGGTTGGCTTAAATGATTGCATTTTGTTCACCATTTTATTTATTTATTGTTTGTTTTTTATTTATGTGTTAGTTTTCTATGAAATTCTTCATTAATGTTAAATTATTCAATGGGTCCCTGGAAGTGGCAGTGGCAGTCAGTTATTATATATTTCCTCCTTTACACTATTTTGAATGATGGTAGAAGAGGAACTACACTCGAAACCATTCCCAGAGAACAGGATCCTTAAAGTAGAATACAATTCATTAAATGACAATACAATAAACAATCTATTTTTTATAGTAAGCATAAATAAAGGGCATGTGTGAAGCCGTTGTTCTATAGCTGAAAAAAGGTTCTGCAGTGTCAACAAGTACTTTGCTCTTGACTTGAACCATAAACCTTTCTTATCATGAAAACTTCCATTTTAATATATGTAAACACTTCCATGGTAGTGGTTGTTAATCAGTGTAAGAATGATTGCAATACGTTGTGGTGTTGGCAGCCATACAACAGTGTACAATGTTTAAGGTAGCTGGTGGTCTGCACAACTGACATACATTAACAGATTCTCTGAAGATACTAATATACTCCCCTCCATTGTTTTATCCACTGAATGTATCAGTAAGGCTTAGCTTCCACTGGAGGGTGCTGCATTATATTATATTCCGTTACATACTATTTGTTAAAACACTAAAGTAGCTATATTTAGTTCCCCCAAAATAATGTAATGTATTTGTGATGCAGGAATCATATCTGAAGTAGTTATACTGAACCAATAAACTTTAAGTGGAAGTTGAAATTCACTGTGAAAAACAAAAAAATCAATTATGGCTGTACAAAGATGTTTAAAGTAGCCTATATTTTATTTTCTACAATAACATTTGCTGCAATTATCACTATTCACAGATTTGAATATGAAAGGGCAGTGAGGTAAAAAAAACGTTGTTTAGTGTACTGCATAATAATAATGATATTATTATTATTATTATTAATTTCACCCTGTTTTTATCCACTTTAAAAAAAGGCTACCATTTAAATATGTACACCGAATTACCAGAAAACATGATACATTCTTAAGTTCATCTTCTTCTTCATATGTGTATGACTTGTTATCAACAAATAAAGTATTCTAGGCCTACGTAATGTGACAAGGCAAATCAGCTTTATTTAAAAAAATGTCAGTGCATTGGCAACAGGCTGAGTGCAGCTTTTTAGTGGCTTATTTCTTTCACTCAGGGAGTCAATATCCACAAGGAATCTGAACAATTAGTCTCATACATTTGACCACGGTCCGTCAAATTCACCGGTGGAATACAGAATAATTCGTGTCTTGCAACATTATACAAATTTAAAGAGCGTGATATAAATAATTGATGTAATAGTTAACTTATATGTGTTTTTGAATGGAAAACGCTCCTTATTATTGCTCTCGCGTTTGAGCCTTCCGCCACACGGTAGCAGTGATGTGGCTCAGAAAGTAATCTTCCACGTCAGTAGGAAGTGGTAGGGAACTACACAGACAGCTCGCCAAAGGGAGCTCCTGGGACATGTCACAGATGTAATTATCCAAACCTGGATATCGAAGGCCACTTCGGAGGATAAAAGTCTCGCAATAAGGTATGTAAAGTGATTCTCTTGTTGACCAAGGTGATATTTTCTCTCCCGACCCGCGGTATCTGCTCAGGCAGCTAGCTAACGTTACTGTCCACCATTTCATTGCTAGCCTGAGCAGAAGCTAAGCTGGCGTTTGCTAACATTCGCTAGTTAGCGACTAATCACATATATTAACTAAATCTAACCAATTGTATAGTCCACTTAGTAATTCATGTTTGCCTTTTATTCAGGGTTAGCCACACAATTGTTGTTGCTATCGCAGGTAGGGCCATTAAAACTGTAACAGTAACTAGCTGCAGTGTTGTACCAGGATTTTAACGCTGCGTGTCACACTTTCTGGAGTTGAGCTTCATCACCCACTTAATCGTAACCATTCCGTCTATGAGAGTGACATTGTCACTTAAACTGTCTCTTCTGTCACAATGACAGCTCTTGTCTCTGTTTTTGTGATGACAGCCATCGCGTTTTTACATAATAAAGCCGAACCTAGCAAACACTACCATTATGTAACTAACCACCTAATGTTAATTACATCTATCCAAAGACAACTCCGTATTAATTCAGCTCCTCCTTTTGTTACAACTAGGTGCTGGAGGAATCACCTGTTGGGGATGTTTTTCTGAAAGAGTTTTACATAGAAGCCCCACAAACAAATGCCTCATTGATCCAAACAATCACTTTTTAGGCAACACCTGTATAATGCTAAAACATTTTGAAGATACCCTTCATTATTTGTCTCCATGTACTGTTTCTGCCCAAGTCTTTCAGGGTCTAAAGAATCCCAGAATGTTTTGAGTCAGATAATCACCCAGGACTGATCACGAGTCTATGGCAGGGCAAACACTAACCTAATACATTACATTCACAACTACTTAATTGATCTATTATGCATTCCTTTGGAAATATTCTGGAAGGATCTCTGGTTTGTGAGGCTAAAGTGTTAAATAAACAATGAGACAATGTCCTATACACATGCAGTTAAATTCAGTAAATAAGTAGTGGCAAAATCATTATTTCTACACTTAATAATGTTTTTTTCCCCCAGTAAAAGTAAGAATGTGAGTGATATAATAATTATAACAGTTTACCATGCCTTCTTTGCCTGCTGATGAAAATGTTAATGAAATATGACCCAACAGTGCGTTTTCCTGTTTCAAGGACATGATGCTATTCAGCAAATGTATGTTGTTTGTGTCTAATGTTCATTCAGATTTTGTTCACACATTTGCTTTACTTACTGTATGTTTATGCATCTGTGTATAAAAAA